CTTTTGCTGCTCTTGTGCTGGGTGCTGTGCAGTGGACCCCACTAACAGCCCAAGTGCCCTTGCTGGTGTGACCCAGAACCACTCTCAAATGTGACACAGAGAGCAGCAAGTGAAACTGGTCGGGAGAGCCAGCTCAAAAGCACTTTCCTGATCTGAACTGAAAGGCCAATGTAGATATATCTTACAAATCATTTGTGGGATGTGCCCTCTGACAAGACAGCACCTTTGAAATGCTTTTTGCCTCTGCTGTGGTGCTCTGCATGCACAAGCAGCAGTGGACCTGCTTCAGGTTCTTTGTGGAATGAAAACATCTAAGAAAACAGTGCATTCTGATTGCAATATCTTAGAAACATTCCTGATTTCTCTGAAATGCTGCAATTCCCCAAATTTCTCTCTTGGCACCCTTAGATAAAATGCCATTGTATGACTGTAGTATGCTGAGTGTGCTTGCCTTAAGTGAGTTGATGAAAAGGTTCCTGTTTTCTGGAATTACTAATGCCTTGAAATTAGTCTCCACATCCTTGGCTGAGCCAGTACTATTTCATCTATACTATATGCTGGTTGGATCCTGCCAAGGAGTTGAGCAGAAATCTCATTTCTGTGATGCACTGGAAAGATGCTTGCAGTACTTTAAATTGCTGTAGATGAAAGAAGTGATTTACACCTTGAGCATCATCAAAGATGATTTCAGCACATTTTATTTCTTGTCACTAGCAGCATAACTATTCCTGTTATTCAAGTGAAAATAAGCACTGAATCAATAAAGTCCTCGAATTTTCAACCTACAAACTGGCTCTGCCTGGCTTCCTTTTAACCAACAGAAGTGTCAGATCAGGCCAGCAGAATCCATTCAGAATTTTTAGGTTTTCTTATCCTAGCAATGTTAATGTAAAATGTTTGATACAAATATCTTATTTATTTCACTGGTCTCACATTCATTTTAACTGAGGTGAGAAACCTACATATTTTAGTTTTGTGGCTGTATGTCTCCTTGATTCAGAAAAAGGTATTTGGTGGGCATAGAGGGGTTTTTATTTAAGATGAGTGACAAGGGTCTAAAGGTCTACCAATTTCCCATTGGAATAGGAAGTGGTATTTCTGCTTTTAAAAGAAATAAATGTTATCTTTCCTAAAAACTGAAAAATAAGGATATTGATTTAATTTTCTGGAAATTTGCATATAATAAATATTATGCAAATTATGAAATGAAATTTATTTTTTTAAAAAAATTGAGATATAATAACTCTTTCCTGTATTAATGTATCAATATGTAATCCTGGAATTCTGACCCACTGATTTTCCATTATATAAGATTGTTTCAGAAAAAAACTTTCCAATGGAGATTTTTCCTCCATATTTGCAGGAGTCTGAAATTTAAGTACTGTTAATATGAGGTCTCTACAGATTAACCTAACTTTTCTGGATACAGAGTCATCTGAGTGACTTCAGCAAGTGACTTATTTTAATTTAGAATCCAAATTTCCATTTTATAAATTTCTTTTATAAACCAAAAGGATTAAGTCCTGTGTCAGTGGAAGACATGGAGTATTTTACCACATCAGCTTACCTAAATTTATGCTTATTAAGGGCAGAATTTATCCTCTTATGATGTTAGTCTATAATATATATGGGAAGAAAAATATTAAATTAGACATAGGTAGAAAGACTGATTTAGAGAAGCATTTTTTGGTAGAAGAAGTTTAATAGAAATGAAAAAATAATTTAACCTCCAAACAAAATACTGACATATCCTGCGCTGAAGTGCTTCAAATGTCAGCCTCCCACCTTGAACAATTCTTGAAAAATATAGGAAAATGTATTTGAGAGCATTTGGTTTTCTTGTCTTCCCATGAACTGATAAGTTCTGAAACAGTAAATTAATCTCTTTTTTTTTTAAATAAGAGCAATAGCAATATTACTTCATGAGACATCTTTTAAAGAAAGAATTACAATACAGAAGAAGGAAGAGCTTTGCTTGAGAGAAGTTTAATGTCATCATAAATGTGCTAAAACCATTGACCGGCTGCTCTCATATGTGTGGTGTTTTTGTTTTCCAGACACTGATGTTTTAAATCATTTATTACCTGTTTGAAGAAGTTAATGAACAGTATGAAAAGGGGAAACTTTTGTTCTTTCCTTTTTTTCCTTCTGTAATGATGTTTACTGTCTGGCACAATGATTATTCCATTTTCAGAGATGTTCACCACCTTCTGCTGCTGATTAAATTCCTGTGTAGTTTCCCTGCCAAATCTGCTGGATTAAATTAACAAGCTCTGTCTGCTTTAGTGGGAATGACCTGCACTGACCTTCAGCTTGTACAAAATAATAATCTTTTCAGTGATTTATTGATTCAGTGCTCTTTATCTTCTTTTAAAGTAATATGCAATGGAAATGTTTGCCTTTACCTTGACTGAATTTGCAGACATGCTCTGCTTATTTCATTATGCTTGAGACTTTGGCCCTTTATATGTAGTATTTTTGTACTCTTTGCTATTATTAACACTTTGTTTTCTTCAGAGGTTTCACTGGAACTTGATTACTCTAAGGAAAAAACTTCATATGAGCCTTCAATCTATAATAGGGCCCTAGTCTTGAAAATTATCCACATCAAAAGACCAATTTAAGAAGTTTAAGCCCTTTCTCTTTTTTTTAAAGTAATTTACATTTTTGTTTAATTACTTCCTTAATTCATTTTCATTTGTTGTCAAAAAAATTTATCATAATATATCTTCAATCATGCTTCCTTTTGAAGTCCAGAGAAATATAAGTACAAACTCCTCTTTTTTGCAGGATAGATTTCTGCTGGGTGGTTTTGCAGTCCTTGCGTCGTCTGTGTGGGCTGTGAACGCTGCCTTGGCTCATGAAATCTTATGGCCATTGCTAAGGCATAACACTCATGATCTGCTGTGGAAAATAGTGCTCAAAGGGCACAGATAACCTCAGATAACATCTGTGGAATGAGAAAGGCTGTTCACAGAATCACAGAATTACAGCTTTGAAGCCAAGAATCCAGGCGTTTCAAATAGCTCTGGTGGGTCATAAATTGACCAATGGAAATTTTGCTTAAGGAGTCAAAAGCTGTGGATACAGGGAAACTGAGACTCTGCAGGAACACTAAACATTACTTCATGTTTTTCTGTTTATTTTCATTTTTCCCTTCTGTTGATTTTGCCAAAGAAGATAGTTTTATTTCTTAGTGTTGGTTGTCACTTCACTTTTGAAAATAGAGTTAATAGTGAAGTCTTTGTAGATCCAAATCCCATCACCCTTCAGGTGAATGTTGTTTTCCCCATTAGACAGGTGGGAAAACTTTTTCAAAAAGACTCCCATTATGCATAGCTTTGGAATGGATATTTTTCTTTTGTTGTCAAGAGGATATTTTAAAAAATCAGCTTTGTTGACACCACTGCAATATTAAACCATTTCTATGCTATTTCAGTAAATCGGTTCTTTGGTTTATCCCAGTTGCAGAGCTTCAGCAAATCCTTTTTATGTGAAATGTAAGGGAAAAATGGTTGCAATACATTTCAAGTGAAAGACAAGATGAGCACTTACAGACATCTTAAGCGACCAATTGATTTGTTGATGACACTGATGAAGGGCAGTGTTCCTTAGTAAAGAGAGATGAGGTAACCACATAATACTCTGATACTTGTGTTTTGGTGTTATTGTTGTCTGTGCACACGGATAAAAACCAGAATGGCCATCTAAACCATACTTTAGTGTCTGTATTGATTGCTGGTTCTCCAACCAGCCCTGTTATGAATTGGCCATTTATCACTTCAGAGGAAATGAACATCCCCAGATTTTGAGCTACAGCTTCTGTAACAAGGGTCTTTTCAGACAAAAAATCAACATGTAAGATGAAAGCAAAAATAAGACCTGTATTTTCTAGCCTTGACTATGTGAAGTGATCAGGACAGCATACAGAGATCATGGTGTTTGCTGCATGCATGTTTGTTGTGACTCACTGGCTGCACTCGAGAAGTTCTCCTGCAAAGCCATTTGGTTGTCTTACTCTGCAACACCCAGGAGGCTGACTAGCTGTCAGTGCACTCTCTAGGACACATTCCTGTGCATTAGAGCAGTAAAAAAAGTCACTACTGTGCTCAAATAAAATTTCAGTGAGGTCCAAAGGCCATAGTTTTTGTCCGAGCTTCAAATTCCATTTAAAAATTGTTGCGTTTGCCTTCATTCTGTAGCCTTCCACACTCTGCTTTTCTTGTTTCCTCTAAGTTTTATGTAAAAGGCTTAGGTTTGCTTTGAGAGAACATCAATTTTACAACCATATTTTACTGATGATAGCTTTTACTTTGAAGAGGGTCTCACTTTCCTGTTGTGCATTTGGCAGCTGAAACCGGCTAGTATTATCTGCTTTACACAAAAAAATAAAGGATAGAGATTTCCTAAATTGATTGACTGAGACTTAAATACATATTGAGTTTTCTAAATGTCCATTTCTAAAAATGTCCTGTTTTTATCAGGTATATTCTCTCTCACTTATATTTCTTGGGGGTTTGGAGAAAAAGCCTGAGTAAGCAGGGCTTTGGAAAACCAGTCCTGCTAGACTTCTAAATTAATTCTTGATATCTTGCTAAATGGTTTGATTTTTTGGGTATCTTGCTCTTGTAAACATTTCTGCTAACTTCAGTGGGAACAGCTAGCTGGGTTGGCACTGTCACCTTAAACTCCATTCTTAATGTGATTTGACATTCCCTGTATGTCTTCCTTGTACGTATTCCTGTATTTTGATCTCAATTATCCAGTTGCTGGTTTACTCTTTTGCAGTCTTTACAGACAAGAGACATTAGATAATTATTTTGGATTATGAACCATGTAGCAGCCTATCCAACTGGCCAAGCAAAGGTCTTATTCCATATGAAATCTTCTGAAATTACTGTGAAGGCTCTTTAAAATCTAAAAATACTTTCAAATTGTGAAATGGATCGATGAAGGTATCTGGTCCTTATGCCATTAGCCAGTCAAAAAAACTAACTTACCATAGTCATGTATCTCTGATCTCCTGTACAGTCTGTATGGGAAAACAGTTCCTCCACAGAAAGTATCAGATCTTGGGTGTTTTGAGATGTCTTGGTGAGATGGGATGATTGGAACAATGCATCTATATGTAGACTATGTAACCCTTGTGACTTTGGTCTGGAAGGAATCCTGCTGCATTAGATATATAGAAATAAGTAACAGAAAAATGTTGTTAATAATAGCTATTGTCTTGAGAGTATTCTTCCATACTATTTTTTTGTTACCATCAGAAATAAATTTTTTCCTTATTTTAAAATATCATTGCTGTCTCTATAAAAAAATAAAAATCATGACATAATGATGAAATAGGCATCCTTTCACATGAGAGAGAAAATCTCACTTTCAGTGGGTAGGGGCTGTTCCACATTATGTTAGTGATGAATTTCCATTTCCTGTATGAAAGATTCATTGACTTCAGCTTTGTGTCTCCCTATCAAAAGGCAGAAGATAGGCTATCTCTGTCAGAAATGTGTGATATAAGTGACAGGATGCCAAATACATGGTCTTGGGAAGAATTTGCTTTCTCCTGCTGTGAATCATGGATGCCTGAACTGCATTTTTTCTGCAAGCTGCAAGTGACTGTAAGGGCATCCACACTACCTAGAAGCAGGCACACAAAACAGGGAGCTAAACAAGGACCCCGAACTTCTTAGGTGTGATTTTAAAATGAATCACAAAATCTACTTACCACTGCATGACTCTGGGAGGAGCTGCCTTTTGAGTCTCCCCCCGAGCCAACAGGGTTTCTGTCTTGCTCTCACTGCAAGAGACTGGCAATCAAACTAGAAATCAGTCAAACCATGCTTAACTGGGTCATGGAGAAAAGTCACTAAGGTTGGACTTGACTCTTGCAGCTGAAAGTAGGTGGGAAAAGGCTCTTTTATAATGTGTGCTTCACTGTTAAGGTAAAGCTGATGTGGAACTTCTGTGCCTAAAGATGAAACAGCATCTTTAAAAGCATTTAAAAGCACTAATGAATCTGATGTTTTCATCAGAAGTGCTTACTGCTCTGAGTTTAGTGACAATGTGCATGCTGTTTCAAACTTGGCTTTCCTTTTTGGAGAGCCTGCTGAATCCTGAACTTCAGTTTTCTTTGTCTGAAATGTAGCTTCATTAATCCAACTGCAAAAAAACTTCTCACTTTTTTTTGAACCCATATAATAAGTAACAAGAGGATGATAATCACACAGGATAAATAAAATTATCTCTATTTCATAGAAGGAAGTAAAATGCAACTGTGTACTTTTGTGATGACTGTTTTTTCTAATGCTGTTACAGCTCCTGGTTTCTTAGCATGTTAACTTTGCTTTGCATCTGTCTCAGAGCATTAAGAAACAGCAAACTCCAGATGAACAAGCTAGATAAGGACACCCAGGTATATTTCTCAGTCATATGATGACAACATTAATCTGATATTAGATCTTTGAGGACAGAAAAGTGTGGTTACTGAAAAAATGCATGTTCAAAATATCTTGGATATCTGTAGGTTAGAAATATTGTTTAGAACAGCCCTGAAACTGCTGTGAATAACTCCAAAGAACTAATTATTGAGGTATGGAAGAAAGCACATGATAATGGAACTACTAGTGGGTCTAAAAACCCTCTTTAGCTTTTTCTGATCTGAACAATGGTATGAAAACAGCTTGACCACTGAGTTAATAACAGTTTCAAACTTTTCTTTGGCTCCTGAAACAAAGTGAAAGTACATTTCAATGGTGCAGTGACTAGTACAGGCAACAAGGTGACTGGCACCTTGGATGAACACAGTGAATGCTAGGCAGTCAAGAAGATGAAAGTATAAAGTTATTATGGTAAAGTTAAATGCTCCAATTAAAAAAAGAACTTAAAATTATGACCAACACCTGCCCAAACAAATGCTTCCCTTAAATAAGATAGAAATAATGCTGACCTTCATCTCTGAAGAGCTTACAGCTCATTATCCAAATGTCCTTTTTGTTGAAATTTGACATACTTATATTACACTGTTAACACATTTCTTCTTATAACCGAATTTGATCTGGTCTGTGGTATAATTAATGATTTATCTGGAAGTCAAAGGGAAAATTAGCTTTCTTTTGTTTATAGCTTGACTGATATAAGACTTCATTTTGACAATCCAACATCATTAATACATTATTTAAAACAAAGAATGAAACATATTCTCTCATTCACACAATAGCAATAAGAAATAACTGCACTTTTATAGTTCATCTTGCATGGAACATGCTCTCAGGAGAAAATCAGAGATAAAATTTATCTTTGGAGGTGAAATGAAGGGGGGAAAAAGCAGATCTCATTTTTTCATTCTTATTCCTGTCATCAGGATTGACTGTTGCCTGTTTATCACTGGAGTTCCTCTTCCTCCTCTGCCTTTGGAGCTCTCATGGAGAAGCCAACAGGAGCCATACACTAGGCATGTTGCATGTCCACTCAGTGTTCCTTGAGGCAATGGGAAAACAAACAAAACAAAACTGTGGTATTTTATAAACACTTTCTAAAAGCAATATTTCAACAGGATGGGTTATAGATATGTGCAAGGCTGGCTAGATTAGAACATGTAATTCCAGTTGCTTGCCTGGCAGTGGCAGTGGTACTGTCTCAGCTTTGATAAACAAGGTAGACCTGAAGATTATTCTGCAGCCCACCTCCTGCTGCTGTCCCTCTCACAGTTATGCTATCACTACTACCTGTCAATCTGGATTAAACTGATCTTACTGCAGCTTTTCTATGAGCTTGGTGCTTTCCGCAATTTCGGAAATTGTTTCAAAATAACTTTGTTTTGGTGGTCATAAGTCTAGAGTTCTGTCAGCAGTGATCCCTCTATGCTCTGCTTCTGCTTCATAATCCTTCTAAACAACTTTCTGTCTTTGTCAAGGACTAGCCTAAAAAGTAGGCTGCATGTTAAATTGGACATTTGGGCCTACTTTAGCTGTCAAGGATGTCAATGTTTATGGAATTAAGTGGGCCATATTGTAGCAGAATGGCTTATATGTCTCAGTATATTTGAGAACTAAACTTGAGCTTGACCCTAAATATCATCATGAGTAGACCCTGGGTCTCCTTCTAAAGAGGTTTCTTTTTATTTCTTCCAGCACAACCCAAGTCCTTGTACTTTTTCTGTGGAAGATGTGTGCTGGAAGAATCTTCTGTTTGACTTGTTAACATTATGTACGTTGAATGCTCTGAGATGCAATGGAGGCAAAAAATTGGGCCAGTAGGAAGGGCAGTGAGTTTAAGTTAAAAGTTCAGTGGAGATGCAAATATAAAACTCATTTTCTCCTACTGGTGTCTTGGCTTCTATTAAAGGAGGGCATTGATCACATTGGAGAAATGAAGTGTGGGTTTGAATCTTTGCATCTTTGTGCTGGCTGAATTAAAAGTCTTTTGTCTAATTTTGGACACATGCTTTTAGGTACTGCTTGATCTCTCCAGTCAAATAATCCTCATCTTTTGTTTTTTGAACTACCTTGCCTAGATTAAGCTGCTATCACAGTGAAGAATCTTCTCAAGTGTGGATGATTACCCAGTATTTAACTGACATCCATAGTTAGTAGATGTGTGTTATGTTACAAGATGAATTTTTTTCTTAAATTTTTCTTAACTTTAAAGACCTTCCTACTTACAGCAAATTTTTAAGGGCCAAATCTTCAGGTAGAATAAAGCAATGCCTTTCTGTTATGCCAATGGAAACTATTTTGATTTACAGCTACCAAACCTCTCACTCAAGATACTGATTTAATATTTTGTTTCCTAATGGGAACAGAGACTGAATAGCTTCTACATTCTTTTTGCTTGCTCTGTTCCTTCTCCTTCTGCATATAAAAAACCATTTGATTATTTTATTAACAAATCATGTTGGAAGTTTTTTTACACTGTATAATAAAATCCCTTCAGATCGTTTATGGAAATTCACTCATTTATTTATGCATAATTGCTGCATTCTTCACTTTTGCCTCATTTTCCCTGGTGTTAAAACTAAATATTTTATTCATTGTTTGCAGTTGTGCCCACCATGCATATTACTTCATCATGATGGAATAAGATTAATGTCCTGTCTTCTAATCACCTATCTATACAAGCCATCTTTGTCAGTACCGGTTCATTTTTCTTTTTCTTTGCCAAGAGGCAAATGCAGGAAATCCAATAAACGTGTGTAATACTGCTTCAAAATTAAGTTTATAACATGAAATCTGAAAAGTACTGGAAAAATAGTGGGAGACAGCTGGGCAAAGTCCAGGCTACTCCTGGAAGGTTTCACACAGCTGGGTTTTTTGTCAGCGTTCTCTGTAGGACTAGATGGGTAAATATTATCAACATTAAAATATATTCAACTTGAAAAAGAGTCTGCAAGTGTGTTGTTGCACTGGGAAATTAACCTTGTAAAACTACCTCTCATTCTATTTTAGTGCAGAGAGTGTTTTTTGGTTTTTCTTAGTTATTCAAAGACCATTTCTTAATAGATCCTACCATACACACACACACACACATATATATATATATATATAATATCCCAGTTTTATAGTACATGGTCATACTGTATCGCATTTTCTCCATCTCAGAGTACCAAGAATATACTTCCTGATTTTTTTATTAGCTTTTTGGAGCAATGAGTTTTTTAATTTTTAATTTTGTACATCAGTTAGCACAGGGCCTCATGCTGACTCATGAACACAGCAAGAATTAGTCTTTCTGCTCCATGATTCTTGTTACAATGCAGTCAAGTCATTTTTCAGCGTGTTCAGTGAAGGCCCTCCTCTCCTCTGAGGAAATGTTAATGTTAAAGCCTTTCCCAACAGTCCTAGGTCTTCAATCCTGACTGTTCAACACTACCTGAGGGACAGTGTAAGACACAGAGTCTTATTTCTTATTTAATTTCTATGAGGCCACATATAAATGTGTGTGTATAAAGAAATGCTGAAAGTCACAGACCACTGTGTAACTTCAGGGCTTAAATTCAGCATAGATCCATTATGGCTTTTCTTGAATGTAAAGTTAGTGTATGACTACCAGGAATCAAAATATGGCTATGCTGGAGACTATTAATATTAGCTGACTCATTTGCAAAATGCTCAGTTTGAAAAGTTCCTTTAGGATGACTATTTGTGTGCTTTGAAAGGGGCACATGCAAAAATAATTGGCTGAATCAGGTCTTAATGCAAGCACAGACATGAGTTTTTCCAAGAGTTCCTAAGGAAAGCTTCAAACTAAAATTCAATTATTAACAAAAGATTAAAGAGTTTTGTGAGAAAAGAAAATGTTGTGGTTTGTTTTGTGGTGTTTTTGTTTGTTTCTTTCTTTTTTTTTATTTTTTTTTAAAGATTTTAATGATTCTAGAATGCCTGCAAAATGAAAACAAAACAGGAAGTAAGCTAGAAAATAACAATAAATAAACACATGACTCTGACATGGTTGTCATTCTTTATATCATGATTTATAACCTGCTGAGCTTTCCACCTCAAAGCATGATGAAATAATGACATATAGCTACTCAGCAAAGCAAAAGAACATACATTTTACAAGAAATTACTGAATTCTATACAGGCTGTAGTGGTCATATGTTCTCTTTGCTTGTAACATACTACCTGTAAAGCACATTTGTCTCCTGCTAAACTATGTGAGCATTCACATTTGAATTATTTTTTTAAATTGAACTTTTACTTTTTATCCTCAGCATTTGCTTTGGGTTTGGCAGAACCATTCTGTTGAAATGAACAGAAATATTCCCCAACATTCTATGGTTTTAGTTTCATAAAATTTGAATCAACAGGCTACAAGCACCAATCTTTTTTTTAAGCACTTTTTTCCCAAGATTCTCCATGTTTTGTTTCAAAATGTAACCATGCTTATTACATCCTGACTCCTGGTCTTCAGATGAAGCATGAAAAACAAACTAAATCCTTTGTAGAGGTAAAAAATCACAAGGAAAATATTCTACCTCTTCAAATTGCACCTTCTGTTTAATAGGTCCTAATATCTGACTTCAAAATTGTGCTTGAACATGGGTGCTGTTGGAGAATTATTACATTTTCAGCTCTTGAAAGAGACACAGAATTAGATTTCAGCTATTTTAAGTAGTTCTCTGGACCAGAAAATTTGATTGTCCACAAAATGAAACCTTTATTAGCTGCTTGATTTTCACAGTGTAAGAAATTATTTCTACTATTTTCTCCAACAAAACTTACCTTTCATAATGTTCAACATCTGTCACCTTCATTCATTTTTGTACTTAGAAGCTCTATTTTGTAAGATGTTGGAAACGAATAGAAAAGAAGCAAATTCCTTTTGTACCACTGAAGTAGGCACAGTAGGGGCACAATCACCTCAAATATGATTTCCCACTTTGAAGTAACATTTTGGATTAAATTAATTCTCAATTTTTGTGCTAATAAATAAAACTATTTGTGATAAATAAGTTATTTGAACTTGGTTTTATTTAATATTTGAATGTTTGGCTAAGCCAAAAGATTCTTTTATCTAGTGACAGAGATTTCTATAATGATGTAGGTGGTATGAAGAGTTAAAAATCTGAAATAGATCCTTATAGAAACATTGAGTGACATAAAATAATCTAGAGGTTATTAACAGCCTGAGCTCATGCTTGTTTTCATTTTCTAGACTTTTTATGTTTAAAGTGGATAGATGGTGATGACAACATTTCAGTGTTTATTATGGGATAGTGTTCTTTAATTTATAAATTCAGGAACATGTTGTCTGACCCTTGCCATTTTAGATGTAGGGTGTGTTATATAAGACGGGCACTGTCAGACAGGTAAAAAAGCTAGGTCACTATTAATAAACAGCAGTAAGAAAACAAGGATGCTTGAAAGGTAGGTTGCCACTATTATTCAGGAATTAGATAACCAATGCATTAAATTTTAGTTTTCTAGTAACTTATTTCCTAGCATTTTAAAGTAAATCTCAGAAATAATAAAAAACGGAGACAATTTACCACTGACCATTTTGCATACTCTGAACAGCTAATGCTGAAACAGGTAATATTTTTACATCATGTGCTCTCCTGTTTGGCTGACTGCTCTCTGGATTCTCCCTCACTGGATATTTCTCTTTCTGCAACAGGAAACCAGGCACACTGTGCATGCAGAGTGTTTCAGTGACTATGCTAAATCATTGTATTGACATGCTGTTAGTTCCACTCACTAGACCTTGTTTTGGTCATGTAGAATGCTATCAGTTTGAGAAATGCTTGTTGAGCCCAAGAAAACACTTAGGACACCATGCACACTAGGGACTGTGTGATGGAGCACAGGGAAAACTCAGTCTGCTGGGAACTCAGGAGTGGCTCTCCAACCCAATCTTTACTCTTTGTAGTGTACAAAAAGATCACAGTGAAAGATACTGCAGCTTTCCTGTGAGCCTCTGAATCCTGGGAAAGGCACAAGACAATACACACTTGCTCCATAGTAAATCAGGCCCCAGCTTTGTTCTGGAAGTAATACTTCTAGAGGTGAGCACCAAACCTGACAGTCAGCCTCAACCCTGAGGGTTAGAGCAGCTTCTGGAAGAGTATAGCAGCAACTTCCTTAAGGACATATTTTGCAAGTATTAAAAGCAGTGGATTTGGGTACAAAACATTGGCTGGTTGCCTTTTTGTTCCATGAAATTTCTTCCTTGTACTTTTAGTGTGTGGTGAAGTCTTCACTGTCTGCATATCTGGGCATTTTTCTAAATCCTACAGGTGCTTAAATTTAAAAAGATTTATATACCTTGCAGCTCAGGACGGTCAGTTCTGAGCGACCAGGAAAGCAGAACTGTCTATATATACATATATATAAGTTGATGCTGAACAAGGAACTGCTTTCTCATAAATTTTTGGGTTAAAGGTTAATTGTCTTCATAAGTCTTGTGTTGCATAATTCTCAAGTTTTAGCAGACTTTTGGTTGATCCAAGAAGCAGTCATTGCTTGAAGGCAACAGGACTTGTCTGAAATATTGCTATCATCACTTATGCAAAGCAAATGAAAGAGAACTTCTCTGAAGAAAAGTATTACATGCCCAAAGAAAGCAGGCAGTCCATTATGGTGTTTCAGCTATTAAAAGAAATGTTCCAATATCAAGCCCCAATCTCCTATGTTGTAATTCAAGCTTTTCTGTCTCAACTTTAATACACATTGCCTCATATATATATTCATATAGATGATTGCATATAAAAAAAATTCTGATATATGAGAAAATGTTATTGTTGCACTTATTTGTTAGACAAAATTGTTGTGGTTTTCCTTAATCTGCCCTCATAGGTCATGTCCTCTACAGTTTTTTTCAACCCACCTGAACATGATTTCATCTAGAAGTTAGTTCTCTGGTTTGTATACTAGAACATTTGAATTTATTCTGGCTATTAGGAAAGTCTTATTGAAGTCCAAATATATCACAGATGTGACTTTTCCCTTATCCAGTTAGGCCAGCAATCAAAGAAAGAAATTACATCAACTTGACATGCTTTGTTCCTGATGAGTCCATATTTCCTCTTTTTTATTACCATCTTACTGTTTTGTGCCTTAGAAAATAATTTTTAGTAAATTGCCCCAGAATCTTTCAAGAGAGAAAGAACCAGTTCAAGGACTGGTTTGTACCCTCCCAAGAAGAGATATTTTCCCCTTTTTGAAGTGTGACATTGTGATTGCCCTCTATTTCTCTTCAGGGAATTCTACTCTTCAACTCTCCAAGGTAAGTGCTATGATTCAGAGATTGCAGGGGTCTCTTTGTTAAAGGTACTTAATTGAAAGTCATTGAACTAAGCTAAATTGAAAATCTTTGTCTTTTTCAATGTCCTTACCCATATTCAGGAAGACATGCCTATCTCCTTAAAAATTTAATTTAATTGAGTATTGGATCATAGTTAACATCTATCTGAAAATTGAAAGAATGCATTGGATGCAATGGCCTTCCTTGAGCCATTCATTATTTCATCTCCTTAACACTTCCTTTTACTTCTTTAGCGTGTCCTGTATTTGTAGAATCTTTTGACTGTTATGTCCCCTGTTAATTGCAACTCAGCCTTGGCCTTGATGAATTTAACGTATCTGAGAAATTCTTTTATATCCTTAAGATATATGCCCTTGTTTTCATTCTGTGTGCAGATCCTCTTTCCATTTTCAGGTCACTAAACTGCTACGAATAGAGTCAAAATTTCTCCTACTAGAATTCTTATCTTTGGGGTAGTTTCAGTTGTGTCATTGGCATAAGGGTTTGTCATGGGGTTACTTTAACTTTAAGGAAGTTGAAGTTGCTGGGGACTGCCTGGAGTCTTTTTCTCCTGACCAATTATCGGTCATTGCTGAGAATTGACGACGGTTTTGGCCATTGAAAAGCGGGATCAACTTGTGAACCCTACCTTAAAGTGTAAAAGCAGAGCTCTCTGGGTTCTCTTTGTTTCCTGGCTGTGGAGGGTGGCGGAGCTCCAGGCCTCCCGTCCCTGCCCAGGCCATGCGGCCGGGCGGGGCTGGGGCCGGGCCTGCCCCGTCTCCCGGCCGGGAGATGAGGGGGCCTGGGGAAGGTTTTTCCCCGGGCCGGGCCGAGCCAGGCCTGATCTCTGGCTCGGCTGCAGGTTTTGCTGTAACTAAATTCACTAGAAACTGCCCAGTGAAGAAGGAGAGAGGCTCTGGACCTGCAGCGGGCTGGGGCAGCAACCACACTCTCCAGAGCAGTGTGGAGGAACTTTGAGGAACTCTATGAGGAACTTTCCATCGCAGACGGCTCCAGTTCCTGCACCGGCCGAAGCCACAGAACCATCTACAAAAGCCTAGGCAAGATTTTAACTCTTTCATTACCCAGATGAGACTTGCGGATTAATCTTTTTATCCAGAGAGAGAAAAAGAGAGTGATCAACATGAAAAGAGACTTTATAAACTACCAGGGACAGGAAAGAAAAGAGGCTTCAGAGAAGGTAAAGAATAAGAAGATGCTTTAATTAAGCTGAAATATCTTTCTGTTAAAACTATGGAGATAGACAATGAAGTCCTGAAAAGACTCCTTTAATTTATGACAGAGTATGGGGAGGAATGGAGTGTCCAAGGTGTAAATTTTGAGTAAAGAGTAAAATAATTGTGATACAGTGAAGTGCTGTGAGATTTGAAGCCTTGAGAGGCAATGAGAAAACTGTTTTCTAGTGAAGCTCACAGAAACAGATGAAGAAGACTTTTTGCCTTTGAGTAACTCATCCTTAAAATGCCATCCCTAGACTCATGGCCCATACACACCTCAGAATAATGTGAAATGGGAGGAGTAGCTCTAATAACAGCAGTTCTGGGCAGCTGACATTAGGGCAATAAGAAACTATAACAGAAGTAGTTTTCTTGTGAGAAACTCCATAAATTAACAGAGGGAGACTTCTGTTTCTCTACAGAGACTAGTGAAAGGACTGTAGTGGGAATTGGGACTGTTTTAACCATCAAAGTTCTAAAGTTTTTGTCTCTGTTGTCATGTAAACAAAAGAATGGTGGGTAGTAGGGGATAAAAAGAGGTTTTCTGGAAGTTTATTCTGGTGTTCTTATTATTGTAGTTTGTTAATAAACTTTCTTTATCCCTTTTAAGTTTTGTGCCTGTTTTGCTCTTGTTCTAATCCATATCTCACAGCAAGAAATAAGTAATTTTTTGTTACTGGTTTAAAACCACGACAGGGTTCCAGTAACTACCAGGTCTCCCACTTTTTAAAAATACTCCAAATTATCAATGCAAAAAATCTGAAAATAAATAATTTCCATTGATGTCTGCTTTCTCAAAGTTCTGTCAATATTTTGTAGCCCCCCCCCCTTTTTTTTTTTTTTTTGTTTGTTCCAACAGTGTCTCTTTAACCCAAATGATTTTCTGCCTCTGGCAGAATAGTTTTAAAATAGCTACTGTCCTAATAATTTCCCTTCCAAAGAAATGACTATCTTCAGGACATGCAGGAAATATTTTGAGCTCTACAATATAATTGTTCCAAAATACATAAAGGAAAGTCATGTCCCCAGTTACAACAGGCTTCCTCCCTTGGGTTGTCTCTAAACTACCATATCCAACAGCCTCTCCTTGTTTTAGAAGTGGATGTATTGCCTTAAAATCTCTTTTTTCTGTCCCAGAAACCATTGAAACTGTCGTTCACTCTATGTGTTTTTCCCAAAGTTCAGAAAGTGCTCCTGATAAATAACCCCTTTACCACTGCATGTCATGTGCTTCTCAACCCTCCCTAGGTACTACCTTGTATACTTACTGTATTCCACTAGGAATCTGTGACACCAATTGTGCAAATTAGTTAAGCCTTTGAGTCATTCCTGTCTGTTCCTCATGCCCTGACTGTGTACCTAGAAGGGATTTCAGATATTCCATTGCTTGTGATATTATTCTTTTACTCATAGTTTCTCATTTCTTCATCTCACTTTCTAGATGAAGGCTGCTTTCATCTGAGAAGGAAAAATGGTTAAAGACAGCTCTTCTCTTTTTTTCCTAAAATTTTGGGAGCCAAGCATGCATTATCTCTGAGATGCTGTCTTATTCCCACTGTATATTGCATATCCATTCCCTCTCCTGTCCTTCATGTCACAAACAGACTAACTGCATTTTGCAGGTGATCACTGACTGCTCCAGGTGACAGTGACATTGCCCTGGGAGTAGAGGTAGGAAAATAGGAACTGTGCCGATGGATTAAAGTGTGTTTGCCAGCTTGCATTCTGATGAACTTCAAAACATCTAGATGTTACATTTGGTATTGCTCCTTCGGAGTAGGGTGAGGAGAGTTAGCTTAACCCCGGTTCTAGAGCTGGTAACCATATCTGAAAGAAAAAATGACAGCCTATTATAAGCCATGATTTTCTTTCTTATCTAAAATCAAAGGAGAAAAATCAGTTCTCTCCACAGCGTGCATTGAGAAAGAATTTGGGGTGTCTTTGAGGTGGACCTTTTTCTGGAAAGAAGGAAAAGGGTAACATCAATAGAAATATTTGCAATGATCTGAGTGAAGATCACCTTTCTGTCTCTAAAAGAAGAGATAATCTGTGTGGATAAACCAGAGTAGTGTCATTTTGCTGTTAAAAAGCAGTTCGTTCAGTGACTGTCTAGAGAAATCAAACAGTTAGGTATTTCAGCAGCCTGAGTTACAGCTTCTCTTGGGAAGTGTGATATATAGAGCCCTTCATTCCAAGATCAGTGACTCAGATCTGCCCCTTGTTGAAAGAGCAAAATACCCCAAACCCTTACCTGGTGGCTTTTTGATGATACCTGTGAAGAAAGCCAATGGATTACAATCAAACAGAGAAGTGCCCACACTGCAAAATTACTACCAGAGTCACTGGTGCCTCAGCAAAATGGCCAAGGACAAAAGAGTCATGGAGAATCTACTTACTGCAAATTCCTTCTGGCAGCTGCTGAAGCTAGAAGTGATGGACATATACCTGTCCTATCACTGTACTGAGCTTTTGTGGGGGCAGTGGGGGGCAGTGAAGGAATTCAACCTGTAATGTCACTAAGATAAAAGAATCCGTAACAGGAAGCCATGCGTGCTCGAGGTCTCACCCAGGAGTTGTAATTTTTATCACAGATATCTGAAGCCCTGCCACCCATTATGAAGTGAAAGGTAAAAGTGTTTGACAGGTTAAAACAGTTCTGAAATCTTTTCTGGCAGAAGCCCACTCCTGATGGGCTGTGCCACAATATCTTGTTTTCTTGTAGTGCCACCCAATGTGTTAAGAAGAAAAGAGGGATTCAGTGCATTCTGCTGTCTGAGAACTCATCCTCAGAACTACACATAGAGCAGCACTCCAGGGGGTTTTAGCTTTAAGAGAGGAATAAAACTGACAGGATATCCATGGATCACCCACTGAATTCAGTGAGACTCTCGAATGTGCTCCTGTACTATGCTTCAGTCTGCACAGTGGAGCAGCCTCAGAGCACGATTGCCTTTGTGGGGAACTTAACTGTAAGGTGCACTCCAGGAGTTCACCAGTGGTGAGTTGGCAGTCAGTCTGTGAGAGCAGAACACAGCTATTTTGATGCAGAGAAAACCCATGCAATATGAGCAGGAAGGATGTAAGGTCCTCACCAGCTTTTCACTTTACAGAACCACTTCTATGGTCTGTGTTGCTTACTAATATAGATGTAACTTAGATGGACTATGGGATTTTGGCATCCTATAGACATGTGAGTTATATTTTGCACTTAGGATCAAAAATTGTATGCAGTATTTACTTAAAAATGAGATAGAAAAGTAATTTTTTTGTTGCACTTAGTTCAGTGGTTTTGATTACTCTGTCATCTATATCAAAGTAAAAGAAATATCCTAGTGGATTTAATACTTAGCAATTGTCAACAGTATGTCAGGATAAAATGTATCTTTAAGCATAAAGTATAGCCCTTCTCATTCTTATATATATAGGGGGTTCTTGAAATGACCTTGGAGGCTGAGAGTGAAGAAAAGACATAGTCAAAAATGCTTTTTCCTTTTCCCAGTCAGTGGGCTGGATTTGACCGTCAGTGTATCACAGAACGTCACAAGCTTTCACACTGAATAAAATAATTTTTGGTGGCTGTGGAAAGAATTTCTACAAATTTATAAGACTGAAATTTTAGTGGCTTTTTTCCTAATCTTGGCAAACTCAGGTTTTTACATTTCTGCAACAAACATTTGCAAACAAGACATAAAGAACTTTATAATTTTTTCCTTTTCTGTAATACTGTGACAGTCATGTTTTATTTCATGTGAAGAAAATAATGTCAGGAGGATACTAATCATCAGTTTGCTACAGCACAGCTGGCAGATGAGTATTTTAATGTATTTCTAGATTAAGGAAGGCAGTTTAAAGAAAACGTCATGCAAAAATTGAATCTGCTATGGGTTTAAAATAAAGTCCTCATCTGTGCCATGGTAGAGTGAAGAGCTACCTTATGTTTTATCATATTGCAGTGGATTATTTTCCTAATGAAGCTTGTGTCTCCCTTAAGCATTTTTCGGATATTTTGTATTCACTTTGGTCTATAATAATGCAATGATTGAGTGCAAGAGTGGATTTTCCTTTAGTAAGGCTCTATCAAGACACTTTTCTTAACAAATTAAACTCTAAATGAAAGCAGTCTATACAGGAAAGGAAAACAAAATGTTGTATATTAATTTCAGTGAGCTATTTTATTCTCGCCAAATTGGATTTTTTCAAAATTAGTAAGGGTTTTGGAAAGGGAGGAAAATAGAAGTTTGTTTATATTTGTTTTAATACCTCTTTTTCTTTTCTAATCCTTAAATAATAACTCCACATAGTACACTTTAGCTGGAGTAATACAGCTGGAGCTCAAGAGACTACAAATCGATATTCAGCACTTCATCTAGGCTGGAGATTCCTCTACTTTCCAGAAGCCCAGGTTGAGGGAAAACTAGATTTTAATTACTCCTGAGAATAAGCTAGAATATAGTGGTATTAAACATGTGTAAGAAATGGCATCTAAACTGCAGAACATGAAAAAAAATGCATAAAGAAGGTGCAGAGAACATCTATTTTTAGTCATGTGTACCTGTGGTCTGAGGTTTGGAACAGACAAGATATTTGTTCATTCCTGATTTCACAGAGGAGGGCTCAGAGCCCAGGCTTGAAGTTTGGAGCAGGAGGAGGGGTCTCAGACCACTTTGCACTTCTTTGGGTCAGCATGGAGTCAGTCCTGACTTCCTGCACACTCTTCCATAAGTTGAACTGCTTGTCCATGCACCTTCAGGTAAGTGTGATTTCTCTTAGGAGAGTATTCCACAGGCTAAGATATCACAGGAATCTGCTTTTCCCTCCTCTGCTCTGCAAGGGTGTCAGTCTCTTAACTGCAGTCCATCATTTTACTGTGCTAACTGGTGTCTGTATCTGAGGTCCTTCAAATAAGCTAAACACAACAGCAGAAAGACATCACCACGTCTCTGACTAACATTTTCACAGGATTTTTTTCTTTGTGCACCTCTTTGGGAGGCAGGACACAGCAGAGGGCATTCACCTTTCTCTTGGCAGTAATAAACTTCTATAGCCCAAACAGTTGGTCATTTTTTGTGCTCTCTTGCACCAGCTGATCTATTTAAACCCTGTTACCTAGTTTTCTGCTTTTTTCTCCTTTCTGATAAGAAGATGGCATACTCTCTCTCCCTTGGTGGTGGCTGCTTTCCCTGCCTCCCCCCTCTACATCCTTCTAGAGCCTTTACTTGGACTCCTTTCAATTGTGGCCCTGCTAAATGATTTATGTTGAGCTTTCCTCCTGCATCAGTCTCAGTCTCATCCCTTTTTTCATTGAAGACAGTCTGGCATTCTCTCTCCTCAGTCCAAAAGAAATATTATCAGTCTCAGTGAAGGGCATTATTTGGGGCTAATTCTACAAACCATATACTAAAATCTCCTTCTGATAACCTTATCCTAGATTTGAATATTTTTTTTTTTTTAACCAAGTACATCTAGGTTTCAAGACTGGATATGGCTTGTGATATCAAGGGTTTGGATGGGTGCTTTTTGGGGATAAAATACTAATTAAGGCTGATTGTTCCATTAAAGCCCAGTGGAAAATCCCCAGGTAAATTAGGTCATTCTGATCAGCCACTGACTTTTTATCTCATTTTGTGCCTTCTTCTTTTAAAGATATTCTTTCAAATTTGGAGAACTTAATAGTCTTCAAAGTGTTACCATCAGAATAGGTAAACCATGCATGGTTACTTCAGAGTGATCTGACAGTTTTTAACTCAGCCTCTCACCTTTTCTCCACTCCAATCATGACACAAGGTAAGCAGATGAATACACAAGTGTTCTTCATTTGTTTAAGTTCTATATATAAAGGATATATAGAAAGAGAAAGAGATTTATTTGCTCATGAGTCAAATCTGCAGATGACAGGCATCTGCATATTTAGAATAGTCAAATTCAGGATTATAAAATGTGTAGTGTCTGCAAGTTATGAAACTTGTGTGTGCAAGGTCAAGGAATGCTGAAAAATACTGTAGGGGAATAGGACAGCAGCTCAGTGGCCTGGAGGAGGGCAGCAGAGACCTGCTGGCTCTGATCAGTCCAGCCACACTGACCCCTTCCTTTTGGTGGACAGAGCAGGGTCTGTACTGCCCTTGGCACAGCTGCAGAGCAGCATTTCTGAAATCTTAGTAGACACCTTAAATTCAACCTCACTGTACCCAACCGCTGTTCTTGTGAGAGGGATCTGCTCAACAGGTAAACAGAGAGGGATCTGCATCACTTTGGGGATAGTCTAAAGAGAAAAGGTGCTCACAGCTCCTCTGCTAATAAAAGTAAGCAAGAAAGTAAGGGGGATAAAAGAAGAAAATAGAAATGAATACATAGTATTGTTCTCAGATGAACTGCTGTGTAGGGGCCCTGTTATCCTATCTAAGGAAGAATACTGTTAAATTAAAGAGCAATCAGAAAAGGTCATAGTGTGATTCGCAGTTTGAAAATCTCTCTAATTATGATACTTAAATGATGGGGAATGTCTATTTTAGGCAGACCTGTGCAGGGTTAAGGAGTGAAAATTAAAAAATGAACAATTTAGAGATGACAGATAATGAAATTCTGCTCTCCTTACCTCAGAAAAAAGGGGAACAAAGAAATATTTTTCTGAAGTGTCACAAATTTAAAACTTTCAAAGGGAATACTTTTTCAATCTTGATGGAATTAAGCTATGAGGCTTATGAAGACTTATGTATCCCATAAGATACATGGGGTTTATTTTAGACAAACTTTGATGCAATGGAAAGGAGCTATGTAGCTGTTTTGGTTATTATTATGTATAGAAATGCAACAATATAAAAGTAGAAAGATACCACTTAGCAAAATGCGTAAGGAGAAGAAAGAGATAGAAAGGATAAGCATAGGAAGATATCACCACGTGTGGATTTAGCTAGGAGACTTGATTGTTGCAAATTCTGTGTCCATTGTTCAGAAATGTGGTCACAGCCTCTATCCTTCAGCGGTGGGGGCAGCCCACAAAACACAGAGTTCGATGGGTTAATATTTAATTTCATGTTTGGGTGGGAACGCCCCCTGGAAGGAGAGAATTTTCCAGTGTCCACTGCAGCGCTGTGGACGTGTTGTGCTCCTGGGCTGTCCCTCAGATGGGTCAGCAAAGCCCCCAAAGGGCGCTGGTTTGCCATGAACCATGAGCACCTCCCCTCCCATGGCCATGCACACACTGGGAGTGCAGCTCTGCCTTCAGGGGCTGGGGGAGCTGAAGAAGGAGATATCTCCACTGGGAGATATTGTGGGTGGCTCCTGCCCGAGAGTTTCTGCTTTTAATTCCTGTTTGCCAGTGGGGACTGTGGGCAGCCTCTTCTCTCACAGAACTGCTATGATGTCTTTCCTTTGTTACTGAGGAGTTGGTGTTGCCAGCCACCATCTGCAGACAGGGCAATGGTCTGTGTGACAGGTCTGGGCCAGTATAAGCATTCTGAACAGTACTGCAGCACTGACTGAAAACACAGTGTGGGCTAAAAATCCCCTGAAAGATGTCTGTGAAATTTATTATTCAATTTGGGAGGGAGCAAACCCAGTTTTCTTGTGTTTCATTCCAGCTGAAGCATCTGTTCCCTAGGAAGAGTGACTGAGTCCTTGACTGTGTCTCTCAATAAGATTAGCAAAACTTTTCCAAGTGACACGCAGCACTGGAGAGGCAAGGAGCTGGTTATGGACCCGATATTTTGGAGGTACTAAACAGACATGCATCACGCTGACTTTAGCTGGAGCTGTGGGTATTCAAGGTTTCTGGTAGATTGGAATATTTCCCAAAAGTTTAATCAATCTTTATGGAATTACATTTTTATACATCATGAAATGCATTTTTTTACATTGATTATTTTTCTCCAAAAAGCAATTAAGTGATGCATGAAAGGCAGAGAAGTAACTAAATTAAATTCAAAAGGTTTAAGGAATAATAATTTGAATTATAAAGATCAATTACATCCTAAATGTAATTCAGCAGACTCAGAAATCCCTTACTACAACTTTTACAAACTTTTACTACTTGTCTTCTTAATCCACACATAGGAATGGGAATACTCTGCATTTTAATACCCATGTAAAGTTTGGTCTAACTTAGAAGTAGTTAATTTCCTTCATAGTCTACTGAGAATTCACTATTTGCTGAAGATTACTTAGACTGAAGAAAAACATAGCATGATAAATATATCAGTAATCTGTAAGTGGGATTGCTAGGAAAGATTTGAGATAAATGTTGGAAAAAGAAGACTTCCAATGATCAAAATATCTTGGTGTCTAGAGCAGGCCTGAATTAAAAGGCTGCATACTGTTTTTTTCTTTTCTAGCAGTGAATATAATGATCAGTAGTTTTCAAATTACTGTCTGTAGACACCAAGGAATTTGCTAAGTCTGTCCTGGTTGTCAGCAGAAAAAAAAAACGTTAATTAACAATTTAGCCAGGGATGGGACCAGTGGCAGAGGAAGCAGCTCCTGAGAAAGGCAATTATGAAAAGTGCACTGTGAGATGAAGTTTCTCAAAACAGCTAAACCTCTGGGAAATTAAATGGTGATCACACTTCATGAAGTGCCCTGTTTTGGCTGTTCTTTTCACATTTATAGCAGCTGAGAGCCCTTGTCCTAGAGCTCAGGCCCCCTGATGTCCTGTACAAGCCCAGAAGAGATGGCACTGCTCCTAGGGAGCTCGATGGGTGTGAAAGCAGCTTGGTGCAGCAGGGACATGAACTCAGGCTCAGCCCCAGGGACAGGTTTCTGTATGGTCTAAAAAAACCAATGATACAGATTTCTCTCTGGCCTAGTAAAGGCCATCAGAGAGCAGATTCAGGATTGCTCAAACCTGACATGCCCCAAGTGTGAGAAAACAGACGAACGGAAGACAGCCAAGAGAAGGCCGGGACCCTATGAGACAATTCTGGTCACCTTGATAAACAATTATCTCAGCAGACAGACTGCCTAAATACCTTCAGATTTAATTATTTGTGCTTTGAGTACAGGTTTTACATAGATGAAGCCCAGTTGCTAAACAGCAATAGCAAACTATAAAATCATAGGCTTTTTCCTAATGGTTTTCCTACAGAAAGTTTTGGCAATGTTTATTTCTCTTACACGTAATGTGCTTAGATTTACTGACTAGTAAATAAAAAAAGCGCAAATTCTTATAATATAAAAGAAGAAAATGTGCTATTTCACTGATTCATAGTTTGGTTGTTTTCATTTTTGCTTTAGCAGATCATAAAAGCAATGTAACATGAACGAAGGTACAAGAATAAGCATTTCTGAAGAGTAGATGGAAACTTAGTGGAGATGAGTCTTACAGCTCGTATATCTTTCCTATCAGCAGCAATGCACAAACTTGGAGCCTGTAGGGGTAGAAATATTCTTACTGTTTGGGTAAACAATTTTTAAAATAGCTGTTGACAGTCTTCTTGCTCAGCTAAGATTAGTTGCTGATATACTTAGTTTAAAAGCAGCCTTCACATTAACAAAAACTTCTCTGATGCTAACTACAGCACTCTGAAAGCCATAGACGTGCAGTGCAGAATTCTGTAGACATATATAACAGACTGAAATTTAATACAGCTCCACATGGTATGGTATCTTATTAGACTGAAGGTATTTATTTAACAACCTCCCAAGAAAACTAATGGGTTAATTTTTTTCTGAATGCATACTACTTTTGCCATTGTAATTGTGCATGAATATAAAGCCTGAAGCTATCTTTTCAATCAATAGAAAGTTCTTTACTGACTTAAGAGACCACAAATGCATATATATAAAATACTGTTCCTTAGCAGTTTACCAGAACAGCCTTGCAATTTTATCCAGGCTAGCTACTTGGAGCCAATTTTGCTGTCAGTTCTGCTGCATCTATTTCTGAAAAATCTGAATTTGTGTTTACTGAAGTTTCCTGTAGTTCTCAGTTCATGAGTTAAAGAATGAAGCACTTTTGTTAGCCTTTTGAGGTACAGGCAATGCTGGGTCCTTTAACTATGCTTGCTTGTTTTATCAGACCCTTCCATTGGTAGATGTATTGATCTACTGACTAAGCTGCTGAATTACTCACCAGCTGATGTGACTGCTATGCCTCCCTCTAATTTCTATGCTTGTGGTAACAGAAAAGAAGAACTGAAGTGGGACAGAATTTTCGGCAGTATAATTTAATAGGTTATAAATGTGTGTCTTAGTTTTCTCATTCCAGTGCCTAAATCTCTGAGGAGACAAGCTGTCTTTGTTAGATACTTGCCTCTGCACTGTTAGCTGATTAGTACACTGCTGCCAGATCTTGCTGCAAAAAGGGTTAGGCTTATTTTAGTTCTCAAAAAGTGTTATTCAGTTGAGTCTGAACAAAGCTGATTCCCAGACACAATGCCAGGGAACAATGCTGATTCCCAGACATATGATAGTCTGGTAATTTTGAAGTTAAAAATAGATTTTTTGGGGGATTTTTTCTAAAAAGTAAGTTTCTCAAGCTTATTCAGCAAAACCAGTGCAAAGTAGGACACAGTTCCTTACTTTATATGTCACCTTGGAGCACAGATTACTCACAATTCCAATTTTAGAAGTAAAGATTAAATACAACTTCTGAAAAATGAAGAGTAGAACACCTCGTAAATGTTTTAATAATAATCCTTTTTCCAAAGTGCAAGGGCATTTCAGCATGGAGCAGATAAATGTGACACTATTCCCCCATATTAGCATAAAGATTTAATGTTAATACACCAACTTACTTTCTAGGAATCCAAGAATCCAAAACATGCCTAAAAATTTATTTATATTTCCTTATTCTCTGTTGTAATGGGCTTCAGGGGTGTCTGTCACACATTAGGCCATATTTCTTTTAACAATTCAAAGTTATCTTGAAAGTAGCTGTTCTTCCTTCAATCTGAAAGCAAACTTGCTGAGTCATCAGTAATTACAGATACAATGTGAGAACAAAGTGGGAAAAAGATCAAACACAGAAAATATACATCATTAAGAAAGACTGAGAAGCTTAGTAAATGGTATCTGGACTGGATTAAAGAAAATATTCAAAATTGGCAGTCGTGTGCAGTGAGAAGATTTTAGGCTTATTGGGTACTAAGAAATACATGTGAGAGTCCAATTAATGACTAAATTTGTTTTTACCAGCGTTTCGTTGATGACACCAGATGGCCACTGAGCTCTAGTGAGTGAGCTGTAGTTTTCAAATCAGTTTTGTTTGGTTGCTCCCATTATGCTTCTGGAGAAGGTTTGATATGCTTCTGTTTCATTAAAAACAAGACCTCATTCTGGAAACCCTTCTCCCTTCCAAGTCCCTTTAAAAATGGATTGGTTCAAATGGATTTTCTGAAACCTGAAAACCCATGGGTGTTGTGTTTCTAGGCACTCCATGTTCCCTTCGAAAGATAAGCATTACATTTATGTTCTTTCTGTCTTTTACTCTGACCTTCCAAGACCATAGAGATAACTCTTATTACTCTAAGTTCAAATTTCCAAGTTGCCTTCCTCTAAAGCAAATTATTAAAACATCTGAATGGATGAATGCAGCCATAAAGTTAATGAACATTTGGGTTTACTCATATCAGAGAAAAAGAGGTCTTAAAAGTAAAACAAAGTGTACTTACTAGATGTGTATAAGAACACTTGAAATAACTGAAAATTCTATGGAAATACTTCACTGAAAACATTCTAAAACACATACTAAAAATGTTTTTCTTACTAAAGATACTAATTCCAAATCAAGATTTCCATATGAATATATAGATTCAAATACACATTTCCATTTTCTATCACCTTCCAAAATACCCCCACTAAAATAATAAGCAAAAATAACAACTGAATTAAGTAATGCTTTGTAATAAATTGTCCTAAAATGGGAAAATTACAAAATTCTTTAGCCAAACATCTTTGAATATTTTATCATATAATCACAGAATGGGTGGAATTGGAAGGGACCTTTAAGACCATTTAGTTCCAATGCCCCTGCTGTGGGCAGGCATGCCTTTCACTAGACTTGTGTGGGTTGTTTTTTTGTTTGTTTGTTTTTCCTTCCCTTTTCCTTTTTTTTTTTTTTTAAATAAAAAAGAAGCTAGCAGGGATTTTTTTTTTCAAAGTATAGACCTGGATAGTCTAATTGAAAATGCCTACGGTGATAACAATGTGTCAGTGTTTTGATTAACATTTGATGGTATTATAAAATCCTGTCTGGGTGGCTTATAAAAACTAAGTGCCCTAAAATATGAACCAGACACTGTATGCAAAGTAGATATAATAATGTTTGCTGATGCAAAAGAAAAAGTTGACAGCAAAGAGCTTGGAAGGAATTTCACAGTGCTAGACAAGCACGTGATTGTGACCCAGCTGACATGAGAAAGTCACTGTGTAGAGACACAGGGTGATGCCAATGAGGGACAAACAATTGTCATTTCACAGGCATGGTGAAGAGCTCTGCAAGAGCCACCACCATTTCAGAAAGGGAACCTGGAGGAAAGAAAGAAAGAAAAGAAAAAGGAGATACAATGATGTTAGTGGTCAAATCTGTATTCTAAAGTGCAAATCCCATGTGTGGTAGTAGTTCATCTAATACCAGGACAACCATAAAAGGTCTTGAGGAGGCAAGAAAACTGATCAATGGTATGAAATTGCATTCAAATTAGAAAATGACTGACTAGAGCTGCCCCAGGTGGGGCTGATGATGGAACAGGTACATCAGAGTTGATAAATTAGCTAG